TCTCCACAAAAGCCCATTTGAGATTCATATTTTGCCACTTTAATTTTAGGTTAAACCCCTCAATTTGGTCCTTCAATTATTATATAATTTTTTATTTTTAAATTAAAAAATTTTTTAATTTGATTTCTTAATTATTGTATAAATTTTTGATTTAGTCTATATCACCATTTATTTAATAACTAGGTGAGTCCCCTCTTGTTGTGTAAGTAGGTATGTTTGTGGATGCTATACATGTTTGGTACTTTACATGCTTTATCTACTTGTTGTGGGATAAATGTTGCTATTTTTGTAGTTACCTTTGTGCAAGTTATTAGAGTGGCATGCCCCTTGCACACACTCACTTTCATTTTGCATTAAATCCATGTCCGAGGTGAAATTGACCTTTAATTTGAAATCCTTACAAATCTAGCTTAGAAGAGCAATTCTTCCTTGCTTTGCTTTGAGGAGTAAGAACAATTCCAATTAGATTGTTCCCATTGGTTCTTACAACACCTGAAAATATAATATTGTTTTATATATTAATTTTTGAAAATATCTTTCATTAATTTTGAAAAAATAAATAATTGAGAAGGTCTAACACTTTTTAAGAAAATAGGCAGTGGATTTAGAAAGATACCCGCCATTGGACATGCTTCACACTTTATTTTTTTCAAAAAAGTCATCAATACAAATATTTATTTTTGAGCTATTTTATGTTTTAAGGGATTTATGTGCTTTAGCATATAAGAATTATAAATTGCTAGAGTGTCTCTTTCTAATGTAAAAATACTTTGTAATGCTTTACCTCAAATTATCAATAGAAGATTGTTTTTCTTAAAAAATAAAAAATAAAAATAAAAACTTATTAAATAACATCTTAAAATATAAAAGTTAAAACTAAATTTAAGCCACTCAAATTTGAAAACAATTCAAGTCAACAAATTTAACGGCAAATGTACGTTACGAGTTGCGAGTTACAGAAGTCAACAAAAGGCTCCACCATTATTGAATTTTTGTTTTGTATAAGATTTTTTTAATTATTTGGATGGTCTGTGTCCCATTAAATTTTGTACATCTCAAAATACCTACTCAATTAAATATTAAATGTGCACCTAAACATGGTAAAAATACACTCGACTTGTCAATCTGATCTTAATCAGACCTATAAAAATAAATTAGAGTCTACATATTTTAACCCGCAATTTGTAAATAACATGTATTATCAATTTTTACGAGTCACGGGTCAAGTTAAGGTCGACTCGTGGGTTGATGAGTTGACCTGTTTATTTTATTTTTTATTATTATTTTTAAATATTATACTTATTATTCTTAATTAATTTTTTTATTGTTAACTCCTTCCATTA